TATCTGATATATCTTGCCGCAGGCCGCATCAACAATACTCCCTGCAGTCTTCTTTCCGCCTCGGCCGTCGGCCAGAGTGGGCATTTGAAGCCGGGCCTCAAAGTCAACCAGTCGTTTGTTGAAGTAGAGGTCCAGTGGCGGCACCCATGTCTCCGTTTCAAGGTTCCGAGTGGGTGTGGACTTGAAGGCTCCTGCCACTATCCGTAGACTCTTGTTTTGAGCTTTTCCAAGCGCCTTGGTGATCCCTCTCGTTGCTGGCTCACCCCCCTTCTCGGTGGGGGTGTATAAGCCAATAATAAGAACGGGTTCTAACTGTATAAACTCGTACTACCTCCGTCCGTAGGTGTCACGGCGGGACAGGCGGACAATCCAATGACAATTGTATTCGGGCTAAACTACAGTCTAAGCTCTATTCCGTCAGGTACGGGCAGGCTTGATTGTCAAGACGTAGCTCGAGGAGCTACGAACAGATCTCGCGGCAGCGAGGTGCAGAATATTTAACCCACAGGGGCCTAGCAGGCACGGCGCAATCGCCGTGACACGTACTTTGATAAACGAAGATGGATGGATTTTATTTTGCCTCGAGGTACCAAACCTAAAGGCCTTGGCCTCTTAACTCAAAGCCACTATGTTTGTCTTCTATCAACGTCACCCTATACCTCACCTCTCAGCTGCAAGCAGGTCAACTTGGGAGGCTACGTTCTCCAAGTGTTCAGCGTCCTATTTCTACCAGCTAAGACAGAATTTGCTGGTTGAGGCTATGTGAACATGAAAATGTGATGGCGGGGGTCGTGTGTAAACGAATTCACTGTGCAAATAGGTCATTGGCGAGAACTCAGGGAACAGTTGAGGCAGATAACAATACAATACAATACAGAATTGGCAGAAAAGGTACGTATCTTAGTGTCAGAAACGCTACGTACCTAAATAGGAGAAAAATACGTACCTAGGTAGCAGAAGAGAGTCGTACCTCAATGGCAGAAAAGCTACGTGTCACGGCACTGGACCGCCGATCCCTAGGTCACGTGGCACATTGCACTTAGCTTCAGGTTCATCCATCCATAGCTTCCTTTCCTCTTCATAGAGCAACGCAGTTATCTTCCCAGACCTACTATGGTTCCGTGACACTACGTACTATGTACCTAGATGGCAGAAAGTGTACATACCTAAGTGGCAGAAAGGTATGTACCTAAGTGATGACGACCTTCTGAGAAGGGAGAGTCGACAACTACAACCGACATCCCCTGCGGGGCTTGGCACCGGGGAAACGGCTTTGAAAGAGATACTGTTGAACTGAACTGGCTCCTTGGCACCTGGAATGATTGCTAGAAGTATCATCACTTGGTTTAGGAACACCGGTATTTGGCCGTTGGATCCATCTAAAGTGCTAGAAGACCCCGAGGCAGTCCTGGAAAGTCAGGCTCTTCCTGGAAGGCCGGAAACACCACCCGCTAAGCCTACGACTGTGTTTTGGACACCTCAAAAGAGCCAGGACATCCATATATACCAGCAGGATGTAAGGGAAGGCATGGGAGCTAGTGGATGGCTGACAAGGACTCTGTTGGCCAAGGCAGGCAAGGCCCTAGATGTAACGGGCTTGGCCCGTAAAGGCCTCGGCAAACTCTCGGCCCAAGACTCGAGATTTGGTGGACTTCTATCTTGTTCGATATCGGCGCACAGGCCAAGGATGTGGAGGTATAAGACGACAGGTATCTTGCATAACGTGATTCACCATTGACTCGGACACCCCATTGAGTCGGACACATTTTCCGGACTATGCCACTACAAACTGCCAAAAGTCCACCAGAATCTGATGCAATCAATTGAAACTACTCAGAATCGCTTAAGCTATCTATTTCTCCAGCCTCCGAGCATGTCCTTGCATTATGGCCAGTCTTGCGGCAGATGCCACAGAGCCGTAAACCCGTCCGACGCCTCTTTGATGGTCCTTCAATTTCCTCCTCAACGCGCTCTTCCTCGTCCACCATACCTTTCTCTGCCATTTTTTCCCTAGCTTGGCTTCCATTAATAGCCCCGCCATCTTGGAGACGCGTCCGTTT